AGCGACGACAGCCTTCTCAATATTGTCGCAGAACTGGATGGATGTGAACACATTATTCACAATGCGTGCATCCGGTCCTGGGCCCAAAAGACCAACACCTGCCCAATTTGCCGCAAGGTCTTCCACACCATCAAAGTACTCAACGGTGTAGACGGTACGTCCCTCTCCCGCCTCAGTGCACTAATGCGTGCAGCATCACGTTCGTCCTGGCTAACACAACCAAACCGTGCAGGCACTTTATTATCTACATACCACGTCGACGACAAGAAACAAGTCGCCGACTTTGACCTCCAGCAGTGGCTTGTTGAAAATGTTGAGGAGGAAGAGGAGGAGAGTTGCCCATGTCCTATCTGCAACTCCTCCGAGCGGGAGGACATCCTCCTCCTTTGCGATAGCTGCGATGCAGCGTACCACACGCACTGCCTCGGGATGCAGGAAGTGCCCCAGGGCGACTGGTACTGCATGGAATGCCGACACCTCTTCCAACTAGCCGACGATCCCCCAACACCTGCCGACGAGATACGATCGCCCCGTCCCCGATATACACATCGGCCTCATCCTCGAGACTCGAGGGGCCACAACGTTCGGACTCGTGCCAACCTGAGGCGCGCACGCCAACAGGCGAGAAATTTCGAGTGGCAGGGTGCTTGGGGTCACTTTGCCGGTCGCTTCTTTGACCTGAGCGACGTCGACCTTGATAACGCAGACGAGGAGGTGGAAGAGCTGGAGCAATTCAGGAGATTCCAACAGCTCGATCGACGAGAGTTGCAGAGGTGGCAGCAGCGGATGAACATTGCCAACCGCCTTGGCGCCCGAGAGACCTTTGCGAACAACATCCCACCTCAAATCAGCGAATACCTGCAACCTCCTCCTATCGAAGAAACCGTCGACGAAAGAAGAGCATGGGGCGCTCTTGAGCGAGCGAGGGAGGTCGAAGAAGGCACGCCAACAAACTCTCGCAAGCGGAAGACTCGTTCTGTGACAGCGTCCCCAGCTGAGCCAGTACAGGAACCGGAGAGAAAGCTAAAGCGCCCTCGAACACGACGACTCCCGCCACAACAGGGCGAAGCCTCGGCGTCCGCCTCCTCACCCGTCACATCAGGCCCGTCCAACCATCGCTTGACAAATGGCGGCCCAGCCACCCGCGTGGCTGTGGCTATACCAACCGCAAATCGAGAGCTGAACCGCGATGAAAATGGGCCACCGCTAGTGTCTTCACTCCTCAAGGAGCTCGAGCCTCACGCTCACTCCGAGGACGACAACTCGGCCATAAACTCATGGTGGCAGGGCGTTCCTGAAGCATCCTCCCCAGCCTTGTCACCAGTCCACTCAGCTCATAGCAGCCCTCGCGCACTCTCCATGACCCCGCCTCCGCTGCCCAGCGTCGGCGGTCGGCCAACCTCACCAACGCTCTCGCTGAGCACCCACATCGAGCCACGCTACCCGCCAGCAAATTATTCACCAACTCGCAATTCGAGCGAGCAGACCGAACCCGAACCTAGAGTTGGTCGACCAACAGAGACTCGAACACTCGAACTGCGCCAGCCTCGACCTCGCCGGCCATCTAGGGCCACATCACGTGCAGAGGAAACATCGCCAACCCGAGCCACGATGACTCCCGAAGAGAAAAAGAACATCAACGATATTGTGAAAAACGCGCTTAGACCACATTGGCGAGCTCAAAAATTGACCCCAGACCAATATGCCACGATAAACCGAGATATCTCCCGGAAGCTTTACGAAGAGGTCGGAGACGCAACCGCGCTCGACCAAGATACTCGACGGACATGGGAGAGGAGGGTGACTCAAGAAGTAGCCCAAGCCATCGCCGGCCTCCCTGCCTGACTGCCCACCACAGACGGGAAGTTATTATTTCGCTAATGGGTTAAGGGCGGGCGTTTTTTGGGCATTTATCGGAGCTTCAATTTGGTTTTGATACCCAGCATTTTTGACCGGATTTGTACTTAAATCGAGCATCGGCGTGTCAGGGCTGGGAATTTGTGGTTATTAATATCATGATTAGATAAAACATCGGCCTTTGTTTTTTTTTTTTTGTGTGCCGATGCAGGCCATAGCATTTGGGGATTCTTTCATGTATCGGAGTTGAGATAGCAAATCGACAGGTTCGAGGAACACGACAAGGGACATGGATGGAAATGTACTCTATAGTTGTCGGGAGCAAATATACATTCATAGCGACAGGCTTTCATGTCGCCGCATATTCGAGATGATACACTCGGTGCACCTACATATTTAGCAAATGCGCAACGTCCAAGTTGTGGGAGTTTACCGATAATGGTTTGTGTGAAGCAGAAATAACAAAAACAGGACCATCAGGTAAATCTCCATTAGCATGGGATCGGCGAAATTTGCGCTGTGTGCGAGTCTCAAAAAAAACTCCGTAAATATTTCAATTGATTTTTCATGTCGAGCGGTCAGCTACTGGATGGTGGGACGATCATAAGATAAGCAAGCACATGGAAGAGGGAGAAAATGTTAGCAGTATCTATCTAACAGGACCCGGTAGGAAAGTTTGAGAAGGATAGAACATCCTTTCAGCAGGTGCCGCTAGCGAAAAAAGACTGCGTTTGGAGAGTCACTCTCGGCGCCCGTAAATGGTCAGGACGTTCTGGAGGAAACAGGTCTTGACGATAAGGTAATGGTGCCTTGGAGAGGAGAGAAGAGAAAGAAAAGGAAAAGAGGAGAGAGGCCGGTCCAACTAAAAGGCAAAGAGCTGCTGCGGGTCCGACGGGGGAGAAGATGTGGCCTGGGGAATGAGGCCGCAATTTGTGTCGGGCGAGCTGTTACTCATCCTGAATGCTCAGACGTTGGGGCATTTTTACTCTCTCGCCTTATGGTATGGCTTTTCAGTATTATTAGAAATAGTAGAATATTTATTTCATCGTATTGCTGTTGTTTTATTTCTTAGTATTCTAGCTGTCAGAGTTCATTTCCATAGTATGAATAAACCTAAAGGGCTTGAATCATTTCACCGTATTCGCCGACTGCCACTTCTACCCAGGTTTCAATGTTCACCACCGGCAGCCTAAACCAGTAAGAAAATCCATATTACCAACCTTAAAAAAGTCGAGGATATAAATTGCATTAAATCAATTTCGATAAGCAGTAATTAATATTTAATTCCAACTAGATTAACTCTGTCCCACCTGGCACATCTTCTTAACAGCTCAGTGAGCACAAGGTCGGGATTGAAAGTGTATTATGTCAGCATTGACAGCGACCCGCCAACCAACCATCGAAAAGTTCAAGACTCGACCTACATCAAAATCAATACTGGGCTCATTGAACCTCTCCAGAAGCCAGTAAAGAGAGTCCGACATGATGGCGGCCTCAGGAAGGGGAGCACGGGTCTTCAAAGGCTCATTAATCTGTAGGTTCTCCCCATTCCCCGGATCAATGGCCCCAGACCTTGAGTGTTAATTTTTTTCCTTCTGCTCGTGAACTATAGCAAACCCCAGCAGCATCTGCTCAAGATGCGCAACCACCTACACAAGAACCCCCGGTCGGTTATACTCCTCGACGGCGAGCACCACGACCACCAGCGCAGCCTCTGAACAGACGCCGACTCCCTCGCCGGGCGCCTACGACATCCGCTCCGGCCTCATCCTCACCCGTCCCCCCCTCCTCACCCGCACGCTGCACCCGTTCGAGAACGCCTTCTTCTTCTACCAGAAGCGCCTCGAGGAGCGCCTCAACACCCCCTTCGTCACAAACGTCTACTTCAAGCCCGACACGGCCCGCCGCATAGACTGGGACCTCAAGGTCAAAGAGCGCCAGGGCACCGTCGCCAAGGAGCTGGGCGTGTACCACGGCAAGAGCGCGGCGGCCTGGGACGACGAGCTGAGGGTGGGCGACGGGCTGAGCTCCCAGGAGAGCATCGTCGGGGCCATCCTCAAGGACGCCGAGGCGCGCGTGTCGGACGACGCGGAGATCATCCCCGCGGCCGACGTGCAGCCCGTCGAGCCGCCCAACGAGCGGCTGTCCGAGGCGGACAAGAAGGCGGACGTCAAGAGGCTGGACCGCGCGATGGACAGGACCCTGTACTTGGTTGTCAAGGGCAAGGACGGGTGGTCCTTCCCGGCCGATGTCATCCCTGATGGCGAGAATCTGCACCAGGTAAGTGCCGTCTGTATTTAACAAAAACCACCCGATTTGGTTCTATAATGATCAGAGAGAATGAAGAGTGCTGACAACTTATTCAACAGTGTGCCCAAAGAGTCCTCGACCAAGCTGCCGGTGTCAACATGAACACCTGGATTGTCGGCCGTGTCCCTGTTGCCCACACGGTCAAGGAGCCCGTCCGTGACGCAAGCGGTGGTGTCAAGAGCAAGGGAGCAAAGACCTTCTTCCTCAAGGGACGCATCATGGCTGGCCAGGCGGATCTCAAGGACAACCCGTTCGGCTACACAGACTTCAAATGGCTGACGAGGGAAGAGCTGGAGAAGGAGTTGTCTCCCCAAGACTTCAAGGGTGTGCGCAACATGATGTCGGATAGGTAGTGGTGGATTTGAGTCGCAGGACGCCTGTAATATTAGCACCCATGTATACATTCTGTACACAAATTCATCAACGTGGCCCGGTACTAGTATTTGTATTTATCTGGACCCTCACTTATTATGCCCACCCACGAGGATTCGGGACAAGGGGGCTTGTTCATGGCTAAAATGTGTATTGAAGTATATGTCTCCAACTAATCGCAAACTACAAACAGCGATGCTTTACGTTTGCATTAAGTCTGGCAGGTAAAAGCAATAAGCCGCCAAGTTCCATTGTAGTCCTCATCTAACCCTTCCTCGTCATCAAAAGCCGCAGATTTATGTAGAAATACAATTCGGCCATCTGCTCCACCCCAAGTTATCAATGGAATTCCATATGTGAAAACGCCCAACGCCCTTGTCTGTCCTGCAAATATGAGTCGCAAAATCCCAGGTCGCTATGTACCCAAAGATCTAAAGAACAAGGTAATAAATAATAATCTTTTAATTGGGTCTAGCCTGGCCTTCCACGAACTCCAGGGCATCTTCAGTGCTGACACAGTTGATGGAACTGGTCTTGTTGCGGAACGTCACACCGTAGCTCTTGTCCGCTACGTAGACAATCTCGGGGCGGAAAGTTGTGCAAATGAACTGAGTACCAATCTCATCAGAGATGGACTGCAGAAGGTCTGCAACTGCTGTACGGTACTGGGCATCGAGATTGGCATCAACCTCGTCGAAAATGACCATAGGACTGCTTTCTGTGGCTTGCAGCGCAAAAATGAGACACAGAGCACACAAACCTAGATAAAGATAAAGCGGTTAACACTCTGCTGACGCAACGGGGCTTGGGATACACTTACTCTTCTGGCCACCACTGAGTTGCTGGATTCTCTGCTGCTCATCAAGGTGCTTGGAGTTGAAGGAGACGCTGATTCCTACACCAATGTAGTTCTCTACAGTGCGGCCTGCTTCTTCGTCCGACTCCTCCGGCTCCTGTCGTCGGTCGGTCCGGCGTTGGATAATCAGACGACCATGCCCAGCTGGCACGAGCTTGCCAAATATGGTTGAGAATTCCTTCGAGACTTGCTTGAAAGTACGCTCGATGGCTTCGTCTTTCCTCTGGTCAAGATGTTTGACGAGGTCCTCGATGGAGGTCTGAGACTGGTCCAGCTCGGTGCGCCGCTTCATCAGCTGATCCTGCTGAGATGTGAAGCTGTTGTATTGCTCAAACGCCTTCTTGTTGACATGTTTGTACTTCTTTAGGGCCTCATTCACCCTCTTCAGTCTCGAATTGATCTAAGCACGTGGCAGGGTTAGATGGGTTTCAAAATACATGCGATGCTTACTTTCAAACATACCGTTTTAGTCTCCATATTCTCATACTTGTCAAACGCTTCCTCTGGAAGAACACCAAGGTCACGAATGTTCTTGGCACACTCAGCCAGCTGGTTCGTGAGAATGCTCTTTTTGGCGAGGTTCTTCTCAACACGCTTTTGTTGCTTCTCGATCCGGTGTGAGATCTCGGCTTGGGCTTGCTCATGTTCGGATTTTTCATTGACGTTCTGGTCCATACGATGGCTTAGCTGCTCCATTTTGGCCTCGATCTCTTGGAGCTCGGTCTCAACGCTCTCTGAGGCCTTTTGCGCCTTCTTGAGCTCTCGCTTGACCTCCTTCAAACCTTCCGAAGTAGATCCTGAAGCCAATGCATCAAAAGCCTGCCCGTTCAGCTGATCAAGCTTGAGCTGAAGATTCTGGCGGAGATCAGCTTCAAGAACCTGCTTTCTGCTCTCGAGTTGCCTTCGAGTGTTGCTTATCTCGCTCCACTGCTTCTGCAGCTGTTGCGTTTGGGCACTGCATTCTTCCAATTCTCTCTCCTCAGCTGCCGTCAGGCTCTTCTTAAAGTCTGTTGTCAGTTCTTGCTCATGAGCCGAGCGATCGTCAATGAAACCGCTCATGTTCATGTCGACCGTATCGCGCCGCCTGATGGCAGCGTCAAGGCGGGCACGAGAATTCTCGAGGTAAGAGGTCATGTTTTCCAGCTCACGTCTGGAAGGTCCGAGACCATCATCAGCCTGTCGCAGTCTCTGATCAGCCTTGGACAGCTCCGACATGGCATTCGTGATCTCCTGATCCTTGGCTTCGATCGATCGGCGTATGTCGCGAGACTGCTGTGCGAGCTTCTCATACTCATCTCTCCATTTATTAGCAGCCCGAACGGCCTTGAGACGCGACTTTTGAGGATCAATCCAGCCACCACTCAACGCACCACGCCTGTTGGTAGTATCACCTTCGGGTGTAATGCTATCAACACCGTGACTTCTTGAATACTGTGCTGCAACTTGGAGATTTGGACAAACGACAGTATTTCCGAAAATGTGCTGGAATGCCCTCTCAAACTTTGAATCATAAGTGATCTTGCTGAGCAACGGCACCGCGTCATGAGCCCTAGGCATATTCACGGGTCGAGGTCGAAGGCGGGAGAGCGGCAAGCAGGTTACACGTCCACCATGCTGTTTATGGAGGATGTTGAGCAAGTAGCTTGCTGTTTCCTCGTTGTCAACGACGTAGTGGAACAGGCGACCGCCAGCAGTTTGCTCCACGGCCACTCTATAAGCATCATTAACTTCAAGGAGATCGGCCAAAGGCCCATATGTCCCAGGAATGTCTTGTTCTTGTTTTAGTCGCCGGATCGTGGCCAGACCCCGAGCAACCTCCCGGTCCATTGTGTGTCTCAGCTCCTTCTCGGCCTGATCCTTCTCTTGCCTAGCGTTTGAAATGTGCGAGCTGAGCTTTTCGTCTTCACGTCGAAGTAGCTTTCGCTCATCGTTGAGACGTTCAAGTTTGTCTTGCGCCTTATTGACCTCTTCTACCAGCTTTGCCCTGTCACCGCTGTAATTCGCCAGGTTGGCTCTCAGCGCAGCAACATTCTCCTCTGCCCGAGCGATAGCATCGTTGACTCTTGCAACTTCCTCGTCAGCGTCAATCTTGTTGGCCTTTTGCTCCATGATAGTATTGGAAAGCTCCTCGATCTCAGCTCTGAGGAACGCATCGCGCTCTGACTTGTTCTTGAAGCGAGAACCGCGATTTTGCTTGGCGAAAAGCCTGGTGCGCCGACCTTCGACACTGTCCAGATTTCTGCGAACCTCGTCTTCTTCGGCCTTGGTTTTGGTATAGTTGGGGTTGATTTGCGACAATTCCTTCTCCTTGGCAGCAATCTCGGCCTGAACAGCTGCGAGCTCTGTAGAGTACTGTTGTTGGGCCGACTCTTGTGCAGACTGTCCATCTTTGAGAGTCTTGGCCTTCAATTCCACCTTGGCAAGGTTCTTTGCGCAATCGCGACGGTCTTCTTCCAGCTGCCGTCGATCAATTTGAAGCAGCTCCATCTCTCTTTGCAGTTTATGCATCTCAGCATCCAGCTTGGAAATAGCTTTCTTGGTCTCGAGCAAGTCTGAGCGGCTTGAGTCCGTTGTGTCAATTCCGTCTTGACGAGCCGAGTCAATTTCCTCGAGTGCTTCTTGAATCGTAACCTGCTCGCGGTAATGGTAGGCATACTCAAGACAACGCCTCTCGCGGTCTTTGTCCTGGTAGCCCCGCAATTCTTCCTTCTCTTCCTCGAGCTCACTGAGGCGCTCTTTGATGTATTCAAGAAGTTCGTCAATCTTTTCCCGCTTATTGTTGGTCTCGTTCATGATCTTTAGCGACTCTGCGCGACGAGTTTCGTACACCTGTGTTCCGGCAACTTCCTTAAGGAGGTTGAGTCTTTCTGATTCCTTCATGTTGGTCAGGGCGGTGACACGGCCCTGGGGTACGATGTAATATGGGTTTGACCTCGAAAACCCTGCAGCTTCAAGGAGATTCATCACGTCTGTCTTGGTAACCACTTTGCGATCGACCGAGTATTCGTCCTTCTTCAACCCGATGGTTCGGCGCAATGTAACTTCCTTGTTGCCGGTAGGAAAACGGTCGTCGCTATTGTCAAAAATCACCTCGACGTAGGCTGACATGACCGCGGAGCCAGAGCCTTCGTGGAGAAGACCCTGGCGCTCCTCTCGGCTCATCTGGGTGTAGGCATCGCTCAGGACAAACCGAATAGCTGCGAAGAAGTTACTCTTTCCAGATCCATTGCGACCAACAATTACGTTTGTTTTGGGCGAGAATGGTTCGATGACGGTCTGGTCCTTGTAGCTGCAGAAATTTGGTCAGCGATCGCAACAAGATAACGGCGCGTGTTCCGTGGGCAATCGCACCTTTTGAAGCCTTGGATGATGATCTGTTTGATATACATGGTGAGTTTTAATTGCCACTGGTGCGTGGCATAAGGACGGCAGAATTTTCGACAATCTGTAGATCTGCCTGCGCTCGGTCGAGCGTGGTTGCGTGTGGTGAGGAGCAATTCGACGCGTCCGACCCAAACCGCGATTAAGTGTTTAACCTGGAGGATGTGGGCTGCCCACTTCCAGGCGCGCCTTCCTACCTAAGGTAAGCTGAACGCACTTTCCTGCTGTACCACGTGCAGGTTATCTACCCTATACCACACTACCTCGCACCGTTGACGGGATGCCTGCTTATCCCGCTGCATCAGCGCCATCTCATTGCGTGTTATTTTAATGAACAGCCATTAAATTTCTCGTTTGTACGATTCATTGTATTTTAAAATAGTTCTTTTATGTGGAAGCATAGTGTTTTTTCAAACACCACGTTCGTCATGGACTTAATGGTCGTTCTTGACATAGACCAGGGATAGCCCAGTTTACCCGTGTCCAGAGAAGAACCTACCCCACGAGGTACACACAGCATGATGATCAATCCAATCGTGGACGGTTCTGCTGCATGGAAAGTTATCACACCATGCAGCTCTCGTCGACCACTCAAAATAACACAGCATTTTATCACACATCGCTACCACAACGCCAGACACACCCACCATCACTAGCACTAGGGTCAAGCAGTACCGTGTATTCTGGTGTTTAGTGTTTAGTCTCAGCCGACACTGGAGCTTCTGCTCGCACGGGCAGCTTCACCAGCAACCAGGATCATTTCTCGAGCTCGTACACACTGTCGCACTCTGCTGCAATCTATCTGCAGGGGCGGCTCTATCCCCAGGTTTTACATCTTGGGCAACGATTAGCTCTCCTAGGTACCAATGTGTGACTAGAATGTGCCCCATGCGGCACAATCTGTACCTCTTTCCGAGACGGGCGTCCTGCAGTTTCGGTAGGTCGCAGAGTAATAACATCACCCGATTACGATTGTATCATGTGTTAGTACTAATGTACCCGGATGCGGACCTCCAGGGCGAGATGACACGGAAGTTTACTGGTCCAAGAACTCAATCGCGAATTGCCACGCTTATCCGATGCTTACCTGGCTAGGGCCTTCCCTTTCCCTTCCACCCCAGAAGAAAAAGAAAAAGTCAGAAATCGGCAGGAAGCCAAAAGATGTCTTGCTCAAGTTGAAGAATCCAAGCACCAAGCTGACCAACGTGATTGACGCAACCAACAACCACTAGCGCATGTGATATTAGGATCGATAATTGACCATGGATCTGCCTCTCCGAGTTGGCTGTGTGGTAGGTACATTCACTCGATCTAGGGGGAAGAGGACAGCTTTGATGGCGCTATCCACAGCAACAGGTAATTGGATCATCCTGAAGCTGGGGGAGCGGCCAGGTACCGAAAAAGCCAATGCCACTTGACAGCTGCTGGCAACGGGAAAGTAGGTACATAGATAAAGAATCATCTTCACGGCAGTCCAATCCAAATTCGGACTGGTCCATGGGGGCTTGGCGCGTTAGTGTCAGATGTGTCTTGTAATAAGTTGTCACTGCAGGTGGCTGGAAAGATCTGTCAACCGTGCTCGCACTGGTGGTTCGGGGTGTGCCCTGCAACTTGCCCTCTGGCGCAGCTGCTCGGGATCCAGGAGCACATCACCATTGTTGGTGATGGAGGCGATGGGCTCGACCTCAACCCATCGCATCCCCGCTGCCACCATAAGATCGAGACGCTGCTGGGTCCCGCCGAGCGCGCACCTGCATCTAGGCAGCTTCCGCACAGATGGACATGTGTTAGTGGCACATGGTAAATCGCCGGACTCCATCTGGGAACAAGCACCGGTGGTCGATCATGCAAGGGTCGCACTGAGGCAGCAAATTTCACCGGCTGGCATGGGTTCAAATCGTCGCGGACCATCTCTTTGAGTCGTTGGATTTTTCGTGTCCTCCTTGTCACCGCCTACGAAGATTCATCGAGCATTTGCCGAATGAAATGCTTGGGTGGATGGATGACTGAGCGCCTGCTCACTGGCCCCAAGGAATTTCGTCATGCATTCATGCCAATGGGCAGCTTGGTGGCAGCTGGACCACCCTCAGCATCCCCGGATTGCTGCTGATGGTAGCCTAAGCACCAAATAGTAGGTAACACTAGATCAAAGGGCTGAGTGGCTGACTTCGACGGTGATGTTTGCTACCTGATTGCTACCTACAGCGTCGGGATTGGCGAATGGAAGACGGCTTGGAAGCACTAGCTGGATAATTTTGCTCTGTAGTCCGTGAGCCACGGAGCCAAACAAGAATGATGGAAACGTCAGTCTACCAGGTCACTAAAATAAAAGGCTTCCAGCAATGGAGGGGCAGCAATGGCGTAAGTAGTAGTCAGGACCAACGGGACTCTCAGGAGGCTGGAGCAGGGGCCTCCTAAACCACCCTAGCCAAAGGCAAAAAGGGAAATTAAGCGACTGGCCAGCAGGGAACCGTTGGGGGGGGGGGGAAGGGAAGGAGCCTGCTGATGGGCCGCGCGACCCGTGTATAAAAATACAGGTAACCAACATATACAAGGCCCGGCCTGCCCTCCACCCGATTTCTCCCAATCCACTCCTGCCCGCCCAGCAGCTGTGCTGCACCCCGAACCCGAGGAGCGCAATACATAATACGACACCCAGCAGCCAGCACCACCACACATTTGGAGGCCTGCACCGCCCACATCATCACCACCAGCCACAGCGAGCTCCAGGCCTCATTTTTTACTCTAATTCATCTATATATATGCGACAACCACCCCAGCAGCTGCGATGAATTTATCCAGTGAATGAGCGCACTTCCGTTCACCCACCCACCTTCCTTGCACAATTACTACTGAGCAGGTGCATCTAAGGCAGTGGCTTGGCCGATTTTTCTGCCCACACACCCTGGCTAATCTCCGGGAAAACCACCCGCCTGATATTCACAGGTGAGTAAGTGTATTGATGAGATGAAGTCGGGCTCTGTTTGCAGCATCACGTTCATCCAAATCGAATTCGCGTTTTGTTTTCTCATAATATTTGCCTTTGTCTTACACCCTGCCTGTCCCTTACCCTTGCGACTAGTACCTGTATCACCGTCGTGTATTTCAGACGTTCATCCTGTCTTGTTCTGAGTGTTGTGTACGCTTAAACACATGTTCTTTCTTTTACGTTCGGCTGCATCCACCTAACAGCAATATATTTCTTAAGCGAAGCTTTGCTCATGACTTCGGCATTGCCTCTTTTTTGAAATCTTTGTTTATTTAAGTGGGAGTGTAGTGGACGTGCGCTTGTTCCCCCCGGCTGCCTTTCCTTTCCAATTTCCTTTCCAACCTCTGCATCATCCATATCTAACTTCGGAGAAGCGCTTTGTCATGCACATAACTAGGACCAACTAGAGCTCCAATAAACATGGCTTCAAGACTTGATAGACTGGTCACCATCTTGGAGACTGGTAGTACAAGGCTCATTAGAGACACTGCTGTCAACCAACTGGCTGACTGGCAAAAGCAACACCCAGATGAGCTATTCAACCTATTATCCCGGGTTGTGCCATACCTGCGGCACAAAGAATGGGAAACCAGAAGCACAGCAGCTAAGGCTATTGGGAAGATCGTGGAGCATGCTCCTGTTCATGATCCCAACTTGGAGGATGGGCCCGATGAACCAAAGAAGGAGGAAGCTGAGGTGAAGAAGCAAAAGGAAGAGGACGACGCATTAAGTGGAGAGAATGGCCATATTAAGAAAGAGGAAGAGCGGGAGGTCACACTGCCAGATGAAGATCATTTCCGATTAGAGACGCTTGATGTCGAAATGATCCTCAAGTATGGACGAGAACTGTTACGAGGTGGAGCTATTGAGTATGGTCTTGCTTCACTGGATCCTCAATCTCGTTTGGACCACCAGAAAAAGACACTCATTGGGCGCCTTGGGCTCCTTGGTCGCAAGTTTGAGGACGAAGAGGTGCCGGTCGTCAATAACAACGGCGATAGCCAGGCTGCTCCAATGACCCCCATCGACCACGGCACTAGCAATGGCCAGCAACGAAGCGATGGCTTCTCACAACACGCCGAGGAGTCGCAACTTAGCTCGAGACAGCTAAACGTTCTCAAACGAAAACGCAAGAGAGAAGCAATGAAGGCTTCACAAGGCAAAGGTGGCTTTGGCGACTTGTCTCTACGACGCTCGACGACTGTTGGATCGGAGGGGATGGTGGACGAAACGCCAGCTGCAGAGACGGACACGAAGAAGAACGGCAAGGTGAATGACTACTTCAACTTGGACCGGCCCACTGACGTCGACGAAGATTCGAAAATTGTCAGCGAGTTCAAAGGCCCTGTGATACCCATCAAGTCGGAGCTGGAGACGAATGAAGCAACGGAAGGAGTCGATTGGCCATATAATCGCCTGTGCGACTTTCTCAAGGTGGATCTATTTGACCCATCCTGGGAAACTCGTCATGGTGCTGCCATGGGCCTGCGAGAGCTGGTCCGTGTGCAGGGTGGCGGCGCCGGGAGACAACTCGGTAAATCGCGAGCTGAGAACGATGCATTGAATAAAAAATGGCTCGACGACCTCGCCTGTCGATTGTGCAGCGTGCTCATGCTGGACCGATTCACCGACTACAGCTCTGATACTTCAGTCGCCCCTATCCGAGAGACGGTGGGCCAGTCTCTGGGTTCAGTCCTGAAGCATGTTCCATCCGAGTCCGTCGACAGCATCTATAAAATCCTCTACCGAATGGTGATGCAGGATGACTTGACACTGGAGCGTCCTATCTGGGCTGTTGGCCATGGTGGCATGGTTGGGCTTCGATATGTCGTTGCCGTCAGGAAAGATCTTCTACTCCAGGATAACAACATGATCGACGGTGTCGTCGGCGCGGTGATGAAGGGCCTGGGTGATCTGGATGACGATGTGAGGGCTGTTAGTGCTGCAACGCTCATCCCCATGGCTCAAGAATTTGTCACAATGCGTCCCGGGTCTTTGGATGCTCTCATTGGCATTGTA